CCACACTACACCAGAAGAAATGACAACACACACAATACTCACACTACTCATAAACATACAAACACAGACACACACACATACATATACACACGCCAGAGGATCAACGACACACACCAGAGACAACAACATACACATGTCAGAGATAAAAACACACACACACACACACACTCTACACCAGAGGAGACAACACACACACACACACACACACACTACTCACAAATGCACACAAGTCAAAAAAGACAACACACACACACTACTCACAAATGCACACAAGTCAAAAAAGACAACACACACACACACACACACACACTACTCACAAATGCACACAAGTCAAAAAAAGACAACACACACACACTAACACGCATTGTATCATTAAAAAATCTCAACACACACACACACACACACACACACTGGTGTCATTTCTCAGCTCTAATAATGTCTTCAGTTTAAATCCTGATGGTTCCCCCACACACTTCAGGGCATTTACAGCAGCATTAACACACATTTCTGCGCATGTAAAGCAGCATGTGTGAGTGTGTGTGTGTGTTGAGCAGAACTGCTGTCTTCAGGGAATCTAACAGCAGTGTTTACAGAAATACACTCCGATCACTGCATTAACACTCACATGAACACTAGTGAACTGACTGATGGTGTTTCCTCATCAGTACAGGAATATTTGCACATGCAGTGTGTGTTTAACACTGATGTGTGTTTATACTATAATACTCTCTAATATTCGTATAATCAGACTCAGTCTGCTAAAGTGCCTCTATAGAGAGAGCAGACGTGCTTTATATGTGTGTTGACTGATAGTCTCTGAGCTTCAGCTGAATCTTCATGTCTTTACTGGAAGCCGGTCATCATCAGGGGGTTGGAGCTGTGTGTTTCTCTGACTTCAGTCTGTTTTCTCTATGTTCTGTATTTTTCTGATGACGTTTGGCACTGAATGCGGACAGAAGCGTGAATATCCTACATGTAATGATGAATATTATCAATAAAAGGGCAAGTATTGAGCTGCTTTACTGATTTGTTTTTCTCATTTTCAGCAGATATTAACAGAGTTTGCTTTATAGCGGAATATACAGTTGAGGTCAGAAATATTCACCCCCTTTTGAATTTTAGTTTCTTTTTTAAATATTTCCCAAATGATGTTTCTCAGATTCAGGAGTTGTTGACAGTGTTTCCTCTAATATTTGTTCTCCTGGAGAAAGTCTTATTTGTTTTAATTTGACTAGAATAAAAGCATTTTTTAATTATTTAAAGCCATTTTAAGGTCAATATTATTCGCCCTTCAGCAATTTTAGTGTTGATTGTCTCCAGAATAAACCACTGTTATACAATGACTTGCCTAATTACATTAACTTTACCCTAATTACCCTAGTGAAGCCTTTACATGTCACTTTAAGCTGAACACTAGTGTCTTGAAGAACATCTAGTCTAATATTATCAGTGGTGGAAAGAGTATTAGACAATCATACTCCAGTAAAACTAACATTACTTGCCTAAAAATGATAAAAGTGTCTGCTGTAAATATTACTCAAAGTATGAGTGAAGTGTAGAGCTTTCAAAAGTACTCAAGAGTAGTGAGTATTACACTGTATAAAGCTGATGCATTTACATGTCATTTGTGCATGTGTGTGTGTAAACGTAACATTCTGTAGTGCATATAGTTGTCCAGCCAGCACACAACGTCAGAAGACGTTAATATTAGGTTAGATTTAGGTTGTGATGTCAGGTGACCAAAATTCAAGGTCTAGCCAGCGTCTAAGGGCAACATTATTTTGAAGCCCGATAGTGACGTTGATATTAAGTTGATTACAGGTTTTTAGAAAGTGACTAAAATCCGATGTCGAGCCAACATCTTAAACCAGCGTCATTTTGACATCAAATACTATTTATTCGTCAGTTATGGCAACCAAAATCCAACATCTGATAGACGTCATAGTGGTAACATTCACACTTCAAGCTGTAACATCATTCGACGTTGATATTTGGTTGAATTTAGGTTGGACCTTGACGTTGAGTTCTGACATCAACCCAATTTTTATTTCCCAACAAAATGCAACGTCCCCATGACATGACAACATCAATCTGAGGTCATGTTGACGTCTCGTGTCTGCTGGGTGTTTAAGGTCATTTCGGTCATAAATATCCGTCATCTTCTCATCAGTGACGTCATCTAAACCAGGGGTTCCCAAACTTTTCAGCCCGCGACCCCCAAAATAACAATGCCAGTGACTCGTGACCCCCAATATCCTCGGAGGTGGTTATGAATACAGAAACCTTGCATGCAATGACGCAGACACACCAATTAAATTTGTGTCAGTGCTTTAAATGAGCCAGAAAGTATAACCTGATGTTATAAAATCAAAATGCATCTGACGCTATTGCTGCCTTTAATATAATGTAATTACCCCAGGGGTCGCAATCCAATAGAACTAGTAACTATAAACTACTATAGTAACTATATAGTATATAGTAACTATAAACGACTATTTTTATTTTCAGTATAGTTATGGATAAAATATGTTAATTCTTATGGTTTAATAAAAATAAATAGATTTTTGGAAATCACCAGGCGACCCCCCTTCATTGCTCCGCGACCCCTCGGGGGGTCCCGACCCCCACTTTGAGAACCACTGGTCTAAACAGTCTCTGAGGCAATGCGTGTAAAGATTTTGGACATCTTCTTGGACACTTTTAATGCTTCCAAACAGTTTTGAGGTAGTTCAGGGTAATAACAGGGTTCATACGGTAAAGGAAATCCTGGAATGGTCATGGAATTTTGACACCGCATTTTCCAGAAAAACCCATAAAGTTTTGGAAAAGTGATGGAAATTATATTTACATTAGTCTTTCAGCAGACATTTTTGATCTAAATCGACTTTAGCTGCGCTCACACTAGAGCTTGTGCTTGCGAAATACATTTGTACGGTGCTGTAAAAAGGGCTGGTATTAAACAATACGATTAGGCGTTAATATATGGAATAAAATCACTATCATAAATATTTTGTGCGTGAATAAAATTCACACATCTGTGATTATAAAATCGTAAAGGAAAACAGAGAGTACTGGTAATGTTACAAGGGCCCAATTCCAAAATCTGCCATTAGAACAGACACAGATCCCACATTTCCTCTGTCTGTATATGACTGATGAGTTTACGAAGGGTGTACTTTTCACACACACCAAGACCTGATTAAGAGTATGAATCAAACACGATACTCCACTGTCAACATGACATCAGCGCTGTCGCAGGCAACAAGCGAGAGTCATCGATCACAGCGGCTCAGGGAAGAGTTCTGTTATTCCCTCTCTGAGAAATGTCCGTCATGAGCTGTAGTAAAGATGGACACTTCATCAGCTCCATTTTCACTGTGTGTGTCTGACATTTTACAGAATCAACATTAAGAGCAGGCCGAGGAGGATAGTGAGCAGAATGTAAGTGAACGCTACAGGCAGCGAGTGCAGAGTTTCCCTGTGAATCACTGAACGCTGTTTAACTAGAACACCACATCTGCTGATTAAGTCACCCTCCATCCATTATTTGCTGTATTCTCTGAGAAATAGATAAACATGTTCCACTAATGGGGTGTACTTATTAGTGCTGCGCACTGTATATTAGTCTGAGTGCTGGAGCTAAACACTGAAGGCGAACACCACCATCTACAAATATACAAGCCTTTTTATTAGTTTTATTGTGTAAAAGTCTTTAAAAAAATCAGAGCTGTACAGAAGATTCCCTTTGTGCCGACATCACACAATCTCCCAAAGCATCGTCTCCCCAGCAGAAATGACTAAAGCACTAGAGCTGCGGAGAAAACATTCAATCGTCAACTCTGAGGAGTTCAAAACGCAGCGCTGATCTCTCTCCAGCACAGTCTGAGCTCAGTTTAACCAACAGAGGGCGCTCTAGCTTTAATAACAGCCTCCAGTCTGTACAGGAAACACATTGACTAAAATGATCATGAATACATTTAGGAAATGTTTACAAGAGTGTTCAGAGTGCACACTAGCCTAGAGCACCATCTGCTGTTCAACACTAGCCTACAGCGCCATCTGCTGTTCAACACTAGCCTAGAGCATCATCTGCTGTTCAACACTAGCCTAGAGCGCCATCTGCTGTTTGACTCTAGCCTAGAACAGCATCTGTTGTTATAAACTAGCATAGAGTGCCTTTTGCTGTTTAAAAACCAGCCTAGAGCACCATCTGCTGTTCAACACTAGCCTAGAGCAGCGTCATCTCATGTAATAAACTAGCCTAGGGCACAATCTATTGTTTGACTCTAGCTTAGAGTGCCATCTGCTGTTATAAACTAGCATAGAGCGTCCTCTGGTTTAAAACTCTTAGTGTCATCTGATGTTATAAACTAGTCAAGAGCACCACCTGCTCTAGAGTACCATCTGCTGTTCAACAATAGCTTATCTGCTGTTAGTAACTAGTGTAGAGTGCCCTCTGCTGTTTAAATTAGCCTAGAGCGCTCTGTACCGTTTAAAAAACTAGCCTAGAGCACCATCTGCTGTTTAACTCTAGCCTAGAGCGCCATCCGCTGTTTAACTCTAGCCTAGAGCGCCATCCGCTGTTTAAGTCTAGCGTAGAGCGCCATCTGCTGTTTAAAAGATAGTCTAGAGCAGTGGTTCTCAAACTGTGGTACGCGTACCACTAGTGGTACGCGGGCTTCCTCCTAGTGGTACGCGGAGGAATCGCTGAAAAATGAAAGAAACAATTAACACTTTTAATCCTTTAATGCGTAATATAACATTGATGTAATCAGCATTGGCTGTTTTGTGAAGCGTACGATCACAACGCTGTGCTTAGAGTGTTTATTTTAGTGCATTGTGTCATAAGCTGCTGAAAATCAGTTTCCGAAGTTTAAGAATTGATTCTGAAGTGTGATTTGACTGACATGAAAAGTGGCCAATCACAGTCGACCTTGTCTAGTTGCGTGAAACGTAAGGGCGGGACAAAGGCTTTCTGTGTTGCAGAGACAGAAAAAACAACTTAAAAACAAATGTTTTGTTGGAATAATGCTTCTCGGATGTTTTCACTACAGAGATGTCTAGCAGAGTAATTTAACCGCGGACTTATTTCCTGCCTATTTGATGATCTTCATACACGTTTCGCTCTCCGACAGCCAGTCGACTCGCCTCTGACCTGTCACTCCTCTAAACACAGTCTGAATGGCGGCGCGGGAATGAAGGTATTGCGCAATTACTCATTTCTGCAAATGCGGCGAGTGCTTTATTTTAACACGAGAGCGCATTCATGTACACAAATCGCTAAAACAGATATGCGATCTTTTAAATAGGCTTTTTTTTTTTCAAATGAACTGCAAGTGCTCTCATGATCGCGTGTGTGCTCAGATAGAATACAATCGCGATCTTTCCACTATTAAAGTAGACATTATTTATCTTTGCTCCTTGACTAAATTTAGTCAAAAGTATTCAAAGTTATCAAATATTTAGAAATAGATTGATACATGATCGATGACAATGCTAATGGTCTTCTTATTTGGCTGTGTTGTGAAGTGAAACTTACTTTTAGCAAAGGTGGAAATTTTTTTTTATTTCTTTACGACAAAATAATTATGCTGGAAATGTTTCTGGATGAGGTATTTGTGTGATTTATACATTTAGCTGCATTCTGATCTGTCCTAAAGCATTACAGGTCAAAGCAATCCATTGTTAGCGTACTTATTATTTATCACAATTTACAATAAGGCTCTTAAAGCACTGCTTTGATAAATGTAGTGTCGTCATATTTCAAATACCTCAAGTAAAATGAAGTCAATTGTTTTATTTTTTTTTACTGACAGTGTACTTGTATTTTTTTACGTTTCTATTTTAGATTAAGATCAAGTGTAAAATAAAATCTACATGTGATGTACAGCTATTTTAGAAACAAATTTGCCATATTGTAAAGAAAATAGTGTAAAATATGTAAATAAAAGGCTAAATTTAAATCTTTTTACCATATACTTTAATTTAACCTTTCAAAGCTTAAATATATATTTTTAA